GGGGCTCCGACGATCGCTAGGCGATCTGGCGGCGACGGCGGACGAGCGCTCGTCAGATGGTGGACTCGAAGGCGGGGATCCCGCCAGAGGGGAGGATATTGACTACTGGAGGGGGTCAGGAGGTGGGCCTCTTCAGCATGAAGGAGTGGGAGGAGATCAGGAAGAGATCGAGGCGGAACCTTCGGGGATCGAGGAGGAGAGCGAAGGAAATCGAAGTTGTTTTGGCAGGTGAGATCCCGTTGTCTCCTGGAAAGGAAAGCGGGATAGGATTGGGGAGGGCCATGCATCCCGATGGATCAGAGGGGATTGGATCGACGGGAAAGGGCGTCGTGTGCGCTGGGTTTGTACAGGCAGTTTCGGTTGATTCAGTAATTTGCTTATTCATTCCGGATTTCAGCATGAGAGATCAACGGGATTTGAAGGAGGGGTCGATTTTAGGCCCAGCTAATACCTTTCGTGGATCAATCAGGGGAGAGGGAGCTGTTTTTGCTGTAGTTACTAGTAAGTGTGCATGTGCAACGCACATATCTAAAAATGGCATGCCGGTATGATAACCCTAGAAGCGGTACCAGTTCAATATGCAAGGTGCGTTGGAGCAGTGGATGTCGGGGCAGCGGCCCTGTGAGGTTTTCAACTTCCACGACATAGACCTTGTGTCGTGTTGGTTGCAACTATTGAAAGCATGCGGAATGTTTATCTCTTCATTACCCTGGAAGAGTGTTCTTTTCTGACAGTGATGGAAGAGAGGCTTTTCGACGGAGCGAGTCCCCCAACCTAGTGTGTGTTTATGTGCTTTTCCATTATTAACCGGACAATTTTTTTAATAATAAAGAAAACATCAGAGCTTTTGCTTCGTGTTTGAATTTATTTATTACTTATACTCATTTTTTCAACTAAAATTCAGATATATCGAATATGTTTTTTATCAGTATTGTTTTTCAACTTTTTTAGATATTATTTATACAGGAAACCTATTAAAACATCAAATGATTGTGACTATAAAAATAATGAATTTTTATTATTAGAACAATGTGAGGTGAATCGTACACCGCCGATAAAAAGAAGACAATTTTTTTTTGGTTCGGGCAATACCGTGATCAATCACAATCTCTCACGTCACTGCCTAGTACAGTACTCTACGTAGTACTCCAATACTCTACGTAGTACTCCAGTATTAAGAAAAAAAACGTCAGTCATCCTCTCCACTACCGCCTCAGATTCTTCTCTGGATAGTTCCCCGCCACTGCCTCACAATCTCCTCCGTCCCATTCTCTCCACCACAGCCAGCGCTCCCTGGTCAGGCCGCCCCCTTCCCTTCGTCACCACCGCCGGCGCTCCCTGGTCAGGCTGCCCTCCCCTTCGTCACCAGCGTCGCCGCTCCCCTTCGAATCAGATCGCAGAAGTGGCCGAGGAGGTCCTCGAGCTCGGCATGCTCGCGCCAGCGCTAGGCGCCGTCGGATGCGGACGCGGAGGCGTGGGACTTGCACGCCCTACTCTACCCTGCTCCTTCCAATCCGACCCTGAAGTGCTCGAGGAGGCGCTCGAGCTCGGCATGCTCACCGGCGACGACGGGTTCCTCCATCCTCCTGATTCCCTCGCCGTCGCCAACATGAGCCTCTCCACCCTCTCCCGCGCGATCGTCCAGGTCCAGGTAATCTCTCTCTCTGACCCTGACGTCTGCTCCTCCCCGTCAATTCGGTTAGTTGCAGGTGCATCGCCTCACTGAGAAATCACCATGAATATTCCTTTTCAAGACTCTACTTATTTTGTTCTGTTAAAGGCCTTTTTTAGAAAATCTGATTTAACTGAGTATTATTCTGCTCTAAATTGCAGCGCCTTCTGGTTGTGAGTGGATCCAAGAGTTCACATGATGCAGTATCGTTTTGAAAGATGATACATTATCTTCATAAAAGAAAGGAAGTTGGAGAAGTTATTATTGAAGAGGAATTCAGTGGTATGTGCTTCTCAAGAGCTAAAATGGAACAAGAAGTGCATGACTCTCATGCCTACACTAACTAATCAGGTAGCATATGCAAATTTTTAACCATACTACATTCAGATATGACATTTGAATATAAAAACTGGCAATTGATTTTATAAAATGGAACAAAAGTGGGTGTCGCGTTTAATCTTTAGAAAGTGTGTTTTCTATTAGAATGGTTCCTTTCAAGAATGTAATATGAGAAATCATCTGCTTAGTTGGTGGTTGTATTGATGATTCGGCCCTTAATGGTTCAGACTTCCCGAAGGAGAAGAAGGAGGTGCGGAAAGAGGATGGGAGCAACAAGTCTGCCACGAAGAGTATGTTTTGTTGCGGATCTTCTATGGACTGTTGTTGCTAGTAACCAAGCTTGCCTTCTCTTTAATTCCTCTATGGAAGTAGCATCAAATTGTGATTTTGTTGATGATCTGCAAAGCTTAATTGAGACATAATTCTCTCAGTTACCACTTCTGCAAATCGTGATTGTTAGTTGAAGTCGATTAATACGATTCAGACACAATCAACCGCTTCTCATGAATATATGTGAACTCTTTTGACACTTTGTGGATATCTTTAGTCTCTCTGGTCAATATTTTTTTAAGGTTATTTTTCTTTCACCTGGATGTTCATTCTTTCTGGTTGTTTAGAAATGACAAATAGATGTAGCTTAGTTTGAGCGTGAGTGATAGCAGTCTTGCAGCTTACGTTTAGCATGCAAATTTTACTTGGAAGAATTGTTGATGGTTGTTTCTATGTTTTTAATGGAATCAAATTTGTTCACCCCACGGCAGAAGTTGGAAGAGGTATTCTCGGGAGTTCCCAGCAATTGGTTCGATGTATGTTGGAACATGTATTCTAGCCCACTGTGGTTATCCAGCATGTTAGTGTGTTACATGATTCATTCTGGTATCTACATGCCATATCTTCTTTTTTGAATACTCTATGGTATATTCTTAATCTCATTACGGTCTGTATGTTTGAAGAACAGATCACAAATCATTATATAGCAATACAATTGGGCCATATATCATGAAGTTGACCATCATTACCTTGTGATACAGCCAGCTGTGCGTGTGTCCCATTATATCATGGAATGGGGTGCGCATCCGGTTGGGAGTGGTCGGGGCCATACGCGTCCTTTAATCCTGTGAATGTCAAGAATGTTATCATACAACTGTACCTGAAGCATTAAAGCAACAAGATGTAGTAGTTGGTAATACAATTCATCTAGGTCTCTTTACGGGTGTGCCTTTACTTGTGTTCATATTACTTGCAACTAAGCATTGGAATATCCATATGCAGATTGGGAGGGCTTTTAGGTGAGGTTAGTACAATGCTCATTTGCCAAGGCTTCATGGCACGACTTCAGGTTTAGGTCAGGTACGCACAATAGGGACCATGTTAGCATATGCTCATGCCATAAGAGTAACCCTGTTACACTTCATACATTTTTCATGTGAATTAGTACTTTGTTGTTTCATAAATTATAGAATGCTAACATGTTTTTGTTATTATAATATGCACAAAGACAACATGATCAATGAAAGCAATCGATGGATCACACCGTGAACAAGTTGGCAAATGAGCCTGCATCTGTAGAAGCAGTTCGTCGGCGCTGAAGTCTGCATGCGAGCAGTGCGGTGATGCTGCAGGACAGTCTTGGCGGCGGCGGCAGCGAGGTGTAATCGCCTTATGAACATGAGATCAGTTTTATATTGAAGAGCATGCACCTGTGTTGGCGAAAAGCTCGTCAGCGCGGCCGTGGATGGGCGCCTCGGCGGCTACACCTGTGTTGGTGAAGAGCTCGTCGTCGGGTGACTCGGCGGTTGCACTTGTGATGGCGAAGAGCTCGTCGTCACGGCCGTGGACGGGCGCCTCGGCGGCTGCACTTGTGCTGGCGAAGAGCTTGTCGTCGTGGCCGTCGGCGGGTGGCTCGGCGGTTGCACTTGTGCTGGCAAAGTCCTCGTCGTCGGGTGCCTCGACGTCTGCACCGGGTAGTGATGGCGCACCTGGATTGATTCCCCCTAATTTAGCAGATGTCTTTCCATTAGTTGAGCAAATTCCATGCGAATTGGACCTGCTGTTTGTTGGAAATATGCCCTAGAGGCAATAATAAATTAGTTATTATTATATTTTCTTGTTCATGATAATCGTTTATTATCCATGCTATAATTGTATTGATAGTAAACTCAGATACATGTGTGGGTACATAGACAACACCATGTCCCTAGTAAGCCTCTAGTTGACTAGCTCGTTGATCAATAGATGGTTACGGTTTCCTGACCATGGACATTGGATGTCGTTGATAACGGGATCACATCATTAGGAGAATGATGTGATGGACAAGACCCAAACCTAAGCCTAGAACAAAGATCGTTTAGTTCGTATGCTAAAGCTTTTCTAATGTCAAGTATCATTTCCTTAGACCATGAGATTGTGCAACTCCCGGATCCCGTAGGAATGCTTTGGGTGTACCAAACGTCACAACGTAACTGGGTGGCTATAAAGGTGCACAACAGATATCTCCGAAAGTGTCTGTTGGGTTGGCACGAATCGAGATGGGATTTGTCACTCCGGTTGACGGAGAGGTATCTCTGGGCCCACTCGGTAGGACATCATCATAATGTGCACAACATGACCAAGGGGTTGATCACGGGATGATGTGTTATGGAACGAGTAAAGAGACTTGCCGGTAACGAGATTGAACAAGGTATCGGCATACCGACGATCGAATCTCGGGCAAGTACAATACCGCTAGATAAAGGGAATTGAATACGGGATTGATTGAATCCTCGACATCGTGGTTCATCCGATGAGATCATCATGGAACATGTGGGAGCCAACATGGGTATCCAGATCCCGCTGTTGGTTATTGACCGGAGAACGTCTTGGTCATGTCTGCATGGTTCTCGAACCCGTAGGGTCTACACACTTAAGGTTCGATGATGCTAGGGTTATAGGGAATAGATATATGTGGTTACCGAATGTTGTTCAGAGTCCCGGATGAGATCCCGGACGTCACGTGGAGTTCCGGAATGGTCCGGAGGTAAAGATTTATATATGGGAAGTCCTGTTTTGGTCACCGGAAAAGTTTCGGGTGCTATCGGTAACGTACCGGGACCGCCGGGAGGGTCCCGGGGGTCCACCAAGTGGGGCCACCGGCCCCAGAGGGCTGCATGGGCCAAGTGTGGGAGGGAACCAGCCCCAGGTGGGCTGGTGCGCCCCCCCCCACTAGGGCCCACGGCGCCTAGGGTTTGGGGAGGGGGCACCTCCACCTTACTTGGGGGGCAAGTTTCCCCCTCTCCCCCCCTTGGCCGCCACCCTAGATTTGTTTTGGGGCTGCCGCACCCCTTAGGGTGGGAACCCCTCCCTCTCCCCTATATATAGTTGAGGTCTTTGGGGCTGCAAACACAAGAGTTTCCACCTCTCCCTGGCGCAGCCCTACCTCTCTCCCTCCTCATCTCTCGCGGTGCTTGGCGAAGCCCTGCTGGAATACCACGCTCCTCCATCACCACCACGCCGTTGTGCTGCTGTTGGACGGAGTCTTCCCCAACCTCTCCCTCTCTCCTTGCTGGATCAAGGCGTGGAAGACGTCACCGGGCTGCACGTGTGTTGAACGCGGAGGTGCCGTCCGTTCGGCACTAGGATCTCCGGTGATTTGGATCACGACGAGTACGACTCGTTCAACCCCGTTCACTTGAACGCCGAGGTGACTCATAGGAAAATTTCGAATTTTTGCTACGTTCCCCAACACTGTTTCCTTGTGCGGGCGTGGGATCCGTACTACTCGTGTGGGCGTGGGAACGGCAGAGTTTTCGTCCGCCAGAAAAAAATGCTAAACGCACTCTGGACGTGGGTTTGTGTAATCTCGACGGTTAGATCAAATTAAGTTATCTGATCGTCTGGTTGTAATTTCTCTTTGTTCTTCTATGTACCTTAGGTTGGGTGCACGTAGCGATGAATACGTTTGCTTGTTTATTAGTAGTAGAGATTAGGAAACTACTCAGTCATGGCATTTTATTACTGATTAATTGCATCAAATTCCTTTATGAGATTGTTTTGAGGGGAACTTTGGCCTGCTATATCTATGGGCACGGGAGAGGTTGGGCCTCTTCACCTATCCTACCAGTGCACAATCATCTGTTCCCTGATCTTTCCATCCCTTGTGGCGGCTTAGAGAGGCGGTCCATGGAGGGTCAGGGAGGGTTTGTGAGTAGTGCTTTGGTGAGAAAGTTGTGAGTGGTGTGAGTTCCAGGGGGTGACGGATGCAACAACGGGAATCGCTCTTCACCGACCATCAACCAAGCTGGCTCCTCTCTTCGTCGGCCTCTTGTCATTGACATGCAGGCTGCCCGCAAGGTTGTCAGCGGGATCCTGGTGGTAGGGCGCCTCCTGTCCCCTTTCCAGGTCAACCCGAGGGTCATAGTCGACGACCTCCGGAACACGGCTTGGAAGAACCAGGGTGTGGTCACCATCCAGGAGTGACCGTCGGGAGGTTCATCCTCAATTTTGCCACTAAGAGTGACTGTCGGTTTGTGCTTAAGGCGCAACCATGGCACTTCAAGCGGGACGGCCTCATCTTCGCCGAGTTCGATGGCAAGGGTGACCCGGCGGAGGTCGACCTTGGCGTCATGACCATATGGGTCCAGGTACGCGATCTCCCGTTTGAGTTTAAGACGGAGAGTGTAGGCCGGTCTCTCGAGGATCAACTGGGAGAGGTGCTGGAGGTTTCGCACCGTAACCATGTAATTGTTGAGAAATATCTACGTGTGCGTGTGAAGATATTACTGCATGAGCCCCTGAAATGCTTTGTAGAGATTACTCCTTTAGGTAGTTCAAAAATCTTTAAACATGATGTAAAGTATGAGAAACTACCTTTGTACTGTTGTGGGATAGTGGGTCATAC